GTTCTCTGTATTTATGAATCTGTTTCTGTTCTGCTTGTTTATTTATTGTGTTTTTGTTCTTTTATATTCAATTGTTGGTAAATATGTATTCATTGCTATTTACTGTTTATAGTTTTGATGTTTTTTTTTTCTTTTCTTTTAAAGAACTCTTTAACATTTTATGTAATATTGGTTTGGTGGTGGTGAACTCCTTTAATTATTTTCTTGTCTTGGAAGCTCTTTATCTGTTCTTTGATTCTAAATGATAGCTTTGATAGGTTGAGTAATCCTGGTTATAAATCTTGCTTTTCATCACTCTGAATACTTCTTGCCAATTCTTTCTGGCATATAAAGTCTCTGTTGAGAAATCAGTCGACAGTCTTATGGGAGTTCCCTTGTAGGTAACTAACTGCTTTTCTCTTGCTGCATTTAAGATTCTCTCTCATTGTCTTTAACCTTTTGCAATTTAATTATGATGTGTCTTAGTTTGGGCCTCTTTGGGTTCATCTTGTTGGGGGCTCTCTGAGCTTACTGGACTTGTATGTCTATTTCCTTCACCAGAAAGGGAAGTTTTCCAACATTATTATTATTTTTTAATTTTCACCTGAGGATATTTTTCTATTTATCTTCTGATACAGTGAGAGGGAGGGAGAGTGAAAGAGGGAGAGAGAGGGAGAGACAAACATCGATGTGAAAATGACACATCGACTAGCTGCCTCCTGCACGAACCCAACCAAGGCTCGGGATGAACCGCAACCGAGGTACGTGCCCTTGACTGGAATTGAACCTGCCACTCGTTTGTCCAGAAGCCAACAATCTAACTGCTGAGTCAACCCTTCCAGGGCTCCATCATTATTTTTTTTAAATCACTTTTAAATTTCTTTCTCTTTTCTCCTTCTGGCACACCCATGATGCAATGTTGGTATACTAGGAGTTGTCCCAGAGGCTCCTTACACTATCCTCATTTTTTTTTCTTTTTGCTGTTTTGATTGGGTGTTTTTTCCTTCTTTATATTCCAAATCACTCTTTTGATTCTTGGCTTTATCTACACTACTGTTGATTCCCTATAAATTCTTATTTTTTCAGTTAGTGTACCCTTCATTTCCGACTGGTTCTTTTTTATGGTTTCCATGTCTTTTTTTATGTTGTTGAAGTTCTAAATTCATCTACTCTTCCCCTAAGTTCATTGAGCATCCTTATAACCAGTGTTTCGAACTCTGCATCTAGTAGATTGCTTGTCTCCATTTTGTTTAGTTCTTTTTCTGGAGTTTTGTTCTGTTCTTTCATTTAAGACATGTTTCTTTGTGTTCTCATTTTGGCAGACTTCCTGTGTTTGTTTCTATGTATTAAGGTAGAGGTACTATGTCTCCTGAGCTTGGTACAGTGACTAATGTAGTAGGTGTCCTGTGGCACATCCTCCCTGCTCATCAGAGCTGGGCACTCCACTATACTCCCGCACCCCACCCTGTGTGGGCTGTGTACATCCTCCTGTGTAGTTGAGCCTTAATTGCTATTGGCACATCAATTGGAGGGATATTCCCCCAGGCCAATCAGCTGCAAGTATTGGCTGAGTCCACTGTGGAGGATCAGCTGTGCAGGATCATCTGTGTAGGGGCTCATCTCACAGAATAGGACTTACTACAATGGGGCTCTGGTGCCCACTGAATTGGTACCTTCAGTGTCACTTGTAGAGGTGGTTAGGAGGTGTTTTGATATGCTCTGAAGCTGTCCTCTGGGTGCCCTGGCTCTGGGGTCTCCTGGGAGGTAGAGGCAAAGGCCAACCACTGCCTGTGTTCTGCCTGGGGCCATCCAGCATGAGCTACAAAGCAATCTACAGATGGCTGCTACTTGTGCTGGAAGAGGCCAAGCTATGAACCCAGGCCGGCTGTCACTAGTGCTGGGCCTGGGGCCACTTAGCAAGAGGTATGGGCATGCCAAGGATAGATGCTGCTTGTTTGAGAGATTTTAGGAAAGTCTGAAGCATGAGCCAAGACAGGCCGTTCCTATGGAAAAGCCACTGGAAACAGCTTGGGTGGACCTGAAAATTGGTGGAATAGGGTCTCGGGGAGTCACCAGGGCAGGGCAAACCACGCACGATAACCAGGTTGATGGAGACTCTGATATGGCACCCACCTGTTGGTTCTGCGGGAGAAGGGCAAAGAAAAGAAAACAATGGCCTCTGCCAGCACTTGTCTGGGAGAAAGACACTTTAGTTCCTCCTCATGTGTCCCTGGTGCCTTCTGAGCTGCTGCCCGAGCGCTAGAACTCAAAGGGGGTGAGTTGTGAGTAAATGCATATTCCAGAAGCCCTCTGTCTCACTCAGCCACAATCCCGGCTGGTTTTTACAGCCAGAGGTTATACAGGCTTCTCTTCCTGGCACTGGAACTCTGGGCTGGACGGGTTGTTGTGGGTCTGGGATCCCTCACTTCTCAGGGGGGGACTTCTGCAGCCGAGTTATCCCTCCCAATTTGTATCCACCACACAGAGGTGTGGAACCAGCTGGTTCCACATCTCCACTCCTCCTACCAGTCTCGACGTGGCTTCTTCTTTATATCCTTAGCTGTAGGACATCTGTTCAGCTAGATTTCAGGTGGTTCTGAATGATGGTTGTTCTGTAGTTTAGTTGCATTTTTTATCAAGTCCCTTTATTTTCAAAACAGGCACAAATAGTCTGAATGACTTGGCTAAACTCACAGTGCTAAGTGGAAGCAGGGCCAGTTCAGCACCAGGATGTCCCAATTAGTCTAACACCAACTAACTAAACGGTTCATTTCTATTCTATGATGTAAACACATTTAGTTTACATAGCTATTAGATCAACTAATATTAGCCTCAGGCTTTCTACCTTACTTTCATACGCACCTCATTCAACAAATACTTATCTGCCAAGATACAAAATAATTTCCTAGCTTAGAGCTTGCTGCAAAAACAGCACTAATACTGTTTAATTGCAATAAATAGTAAAACTTAAAACAAAATCAAAACCCAGTATTAATACCTAAGTGCTGGGAGGTTGGTAATGTTTAATATTTAACAGACAAACCTGTCTAAAATGACTTTGAGACCACAGCATCAACAACCAATCACCCTCCTCAGAAGAGGGAATACAATGTGCCAGTTACAAACACTAGGTAGAATGGTAGGAAGTGTCAAACAAAAATGATATGTCTATGAAATTCAAAAGATGAAAACAATTTCTAAATTAACAGTTGGTGGTGGGATTAAAACAGGTACATGCTTTGTTTCTAGAAGTTTAAAAAGGCATACTCAATACATAAACTTTTCTGCAAAGTACACCTGACTTTTTTTTTTTTTTAAGTTTAAACACAGCTTACGTAGAAACTCAAATGTTTCATTGGAGGCTTGAAATCATATCAGGGAGTTTCTCAAACTAAGGAGCAAAAACTGAAATTAAGAAAGGTGCAATTAGGCCCAGTGCTTTCTGTTTAGGAGATAATTTACCAGGTGCCACAATCACTCAAAGCTGAGTCCTGGAGTATGGAGAGGCCAGCAGGAGCCACAGATTGCCCTGACAACCGTTCCAGCCAAAGTGCTGACAAGCAGAGATGCTGCCACCAAAACGTGACCATGGACACCAGGCCAGCCTTGGCCAAAGGTAATACATGTTCCTGCTCTCTTGGGCTTCAGGTGCAATGTGTTCTTCAAAATACAATTCTGCTACACTAACATCAATAAACTTTTTTCCCCATAAAACAATGACCTACCATATAAGGATGAAAATTATATATTTTTCAAAGTTACTAAATTCCTATGAGGCACAGTCATAATTTAAGAAAAGGCCAAATACAATCGAGAATACTCACTTGAGGTACTATTAATGACAAATCATTGCAAGCTGCCAGGTTGCAAATATCACTGGTCTTTTCTCCCCCCTGCTGTTTTCATAGTCTCTAGGGGTTCTCAATGTTTGTGGCAAGAATGTATAGAAATAATACTTATCTTTAGCCACAGGACTTTTCATATCAAATGGGGCAACCACAAAACAGTGAGACTTTAGAATGAAAACTTCCCTACAGCCAGTCAATCTGATTTGCAGGAAATGTTTTAGTAGTCCTAGCTAAAACTCCTAAGCAGTCAGGATATTTTGGTCAGTTTCTTCATGGTACAATTTCAAAGAGGCATATAAAGAAGCAAATTCACAGGCTTGGCTTTAGCCCTGGGGGCGGGGGGGGAGTCTTTTATTAGACAAAATGATGAAAGTATTTCCACTTCTGAAGTTCAGCAAATTGACTTAATAGCATGGACAGTTGAATGTAAGGCTTCTTTAAATGATTACCTAGGGGCAGAGTACTAAGCACTGTACCCCTAGATTAGGCCCACTGTATGATTTTCTACTTTTAAAAGAGCATCTACAGCCCTGCTGGGATATGCAGTGGTGCCACCCTGGATATAGTATCAGGTGGGTAATCTGGAAAAAGGGCTCAGAGCTGATCATTTGAGAAAGGGCAGCCAGTCTTGGGTTCCATAAAAATTCTACTCAAAATGTCAGATTTTATAAAAAATGGAATCCTTCATTTATGTTTAAATAGTGTATGGTGAAGGGTGTTCCTTGTACTGTGTCATTTTACTGTTTGGTATATCTTTGTAAAGGGCTACACTTATAAAAGTACAGTTTACAAAGTGGGAACAGCCTCTCTCCCCCAGCTACTCCATTAAATCCACCATTTTATTTTTTAAGGAGCTAGCCCCTTTTCTCAGATATTAGTAACATGATACCCTTCCTCACTCTTTCAAACATTTAGGGAAGGCATTTAAAAACTGCATTTAAGATCCTTTTGGCCGGGCCAGTGTGCCTCAGTTGGGTGAGAGTCCACCCAGGCACCAAGAGGTGGCGGTTTGGATTCCCAGTCAGGGCACATGCCCAGGTGTGGGCCCATCCCCAGTGGGGGGCGTGCAGGAGGCGGCCAGTCTCTCATCCATGTTTCTCTCTCTCTCTCTCCCTCTTCCTTCCTCTCTCTCTAAAAATCAGTAAAGAAAAAATATTTTAAAAAGAAAAAAGGATCCTTTTGTAGTTCCTAAGCGTGGTGGTTAGGTGTTTACGCTCTTGTGTGAGATGTGCCTCCCTCAAACCTTATTACCACATCGGCACATTACCCGTCTAACGTGGAAAAAAAAAAATGCATTTAACTATTTCTCGCATCGATTCGAACTCTGAGGCCCTGAGGGAGTTGGAGGGAAAAAAAATAAACAGGAAGTGAAAGTGACAAGAAAATGGCATTGCTGATTTTCTGCTCTTCTTTCAAACGGCACAGCTAAAAGATTAAAAACAAACAATAAACCAACCCATTTTTCTCTTCAACAATCGGAAACTGATCTAACGTGGAGGGGAGGGGGGCAAACGAAAACCCAGAAATTACGCCCTTCCGATCCACACCCCCGAGGGCTCTCTGCAAGGCTGTGTCCCCGGCGCGCGGAGGTCGGGCCCCCGCCCCGCAGACACCGCAGCGGCCCCGGCTTCGCGGGCCTCGGGGCGCATCCCCTCCCCGCCTCCCCCGAGCCGTGGGCCACGCAGGCACGGGGCCCCGGGCTCGGGCCAACTGTTACTCCCGCACCCGCTCGCGCGTCTCCGGCTCGCTCTCGGAACACGCGAGTTACTCCTCCCTGTTCCCGGGAGGGGAGGGCTCGCGGTCCCTGCAGGGAGCTGTCAGCTCCCGCGACAGCCGCTCTCGGGCAGTCAGTCCGCGGGCTCCGTCGACCCATCAGCCCCTCGGGCGCCGACCACCGAGCCGGGGCGCGGGGCTCTGGAAAGTTCCTCCGGAGAACCCGCCTCCCGGGGTATCGTGCCGTTCCCCGGCCGCAGCCCCGGGCCCCCGCACCCCAACCGGGCGGAGGCGCTGGCCCGCGCGCCCCCCGCCCCTGGCCTTTCCTGCCATCGGCTCCGGGCGCGCCCCCGGCCCTACGTCTGCGGCGCGGCGGCCACTGTCGGTCCCCCCGCGCGTGGGAACGAAGTGAACTTCCCGGCCGCTCGGCTTCCACGCCACAGAACTGCCCCCCACAAACTTTTCCAACCGCCGCCCCCGGCCCCCGCAGTGGAACCGGCGGTCTTACCTGGGGCGTCGGCGACCGCGGTCCCGCTCGGCCCGGGGTGCTGGGTGTCGGCGGCCAGCGCGGGCGCCACGACCGGGAGCCCCTCAGGAGCATCATCCTGCCGGCGCGGGGCTCCCTCCAGCTCCGCCGGCCTCGTCAGCGTGGGCGCCCCGCCTCGCCCCGCGCCGCCCGCTCCCCGCCCCGCGCAGGCTGGGCGGGCTGGAGGAGGGTGTGCCCCTCTTCCACTTCTCGTCTGTGCACACATCCCGGCGCGAGACTGCTTTCTCTCCTCCGACCAAAAAAAAAAAAAAAAAAAGTGGGGTGCGGGGAGAGCGCGCGCGAGCGAAGCGCCCAACGCAGCGCAGGGTCCGAGGGCTGCGCTGCCCGCGGCCTCCCCTCCTCCGCCCAAGCCCCGCTGGGAGCGACAGCCGCCGCTCGCACCCGAGAGCGCTTGAGGTCCGAGCCGCTTTCGTCCCGGCGCTTGTGCCCTAGGGGCGGCCTTCTTCATCCCCGGCGCGGGGGAGCGGGAAGGGGCGCCAGGCGTCTCTCTTGAAGTTGGGCCCCGGAACAGAGAGGATCCGCCGAGGCTGTGCTGGGGCTGCGATGGCCGGGCCTCTGCTGCTGGTGAGCGCGGGGTCGACCCGACCGTCCGCCCCAGGCCCGCTCTGCCTGGGTCTACCACCCGCCAGACCGTGCCCCCCACCCCCCCCCCCCGAGCTCTTTGGGACAGTCCCACAGCCCAATTGCCTTCTCTTTTGAAGCACGCTTTTAATGGAAGAAGCAAAGGAACTGGGACTTCTAATGTTTGGATTAGATTGAAGACTTTTTGTTTATAAAGACAAATAAACAACCATTTAAGAGCAACCTAGTGGCCTTATCTTCTAAAGCTGCCCAAAAGTGTCCTGTGCCCCTGCAGTTCTCTGGGGTACAGGTCCAGAGCAGCCCTGTTCACCAGATCACCTGGACACGGACTTCATTCTCAATGGTCCAGGAGGGAAGGCGCTCGCCCCACCCCCGTCCAATTAAGAGCAACCTAATCTAAGCTATCACATAGTTTACTTACAATAAATTGTTAGATAAAATACGGGAGGCCTGGTTATATTCAAATTTCAGATCAACAGCTTATACTTTCTTTTTTTTAGTGTATGTCCCAAATATTGCATGGGTCACACTTACTCCCTTTTTTAAAATAGGAAATATTTGGGATATTTTTATTTATCTGTAATTCAAATTTAACAGGGGATCCCGTATTTTTATTGGCTAAATCTTTCACAGGCTTGAGTTAATGAGTCAACGCTGGCAAACAATGCAACAAGTGGCAAATCCTGATGATGATTTCCTTCTTTATTGAAAAAAGATGGAGATTTCTATGATAGGAAAAACTTGGCCAACATCAAAGACAGATTCACATGTGTTAACTAGCATTTGCACTTATTTTGTTTAATTGATTTTTAGAGACAGAGAGAGAGAGAGAGAGAGAGAGAAACATCAAGTTGTTCCACTTATTTATGCATTAATTGGTTGCTTCTTGTATGTTCCCTAACCAGAGATCAAACCCACAGCTTTGGCATATCTGGAGGAAGCTCTAACCAATTGAGCTACCAGGCCAGGAACATATTTGCCTTTCAGAATACAATTGCCCCAGGCAGATAATGACGCATTCAACTTACTTAAGTTCTTTCCTTCTATTAACTAGTGCTCCCATTGAAAGAAGTTTTGTGTTGGCTGTTGTGAATAATTCTGCACCGAACAATGGGAGTAATAGATACCTTTTTGAGATACTGATTTCATTCTTTTGTATATATACCCAGTAGTGGGATTGCTGAATCTATAGTAGACCTATTTTTAATTTTTTGAAGAACCTCCATACTGTTTTCCAACAACTTACATTTCCACCAACAGTGTACAGGGTTCTCTAGTAGTCAAGATATGGAAACAACCTAAGTGTCCATGGAGGGAAGAGTGGTTAAAGAAAATGTGATATATAACCATGTCTATTACATGTTGTATATGCTCATTATTAAGTATATTTTACAGTACTTTATAAGCATACTTTATAAACAAAAAAGTACTTTATAAAATATATTTATAAACAAAAAGTCTTCAATCTAATTATATTATATACTATTGTATATATTCATATATACAATGGAATATTATTCAGCCATAAAAAAGAAGAAAATCCTACCATTTGTGACAACATGGGTGAACCTGGAGGACATTATGCTAAGTGAAATAAGTCAGACAGAGAAAGGCAAGTGCTATATGATCTTACATTTACGTGGAACCTAAAAAAAGTCAAATTCATAGAACCAGAGGTAGAACGGTGGTTTTCAGAGCCTGGGAAGTGGGGAAAATGGGGAAAGGTTGGTCAAAGAACACAAACTTTGTTTTAAGATGAATAAATCCTGGGGATTTGATGTAGAGCACTGTGACTATAGTTAAAAATACTGTAAAATATACTTAAAATGTGGTAAGAGAGTATATCTTAACTGTACTTACTACACTCCCCCCCCCCAAAAAAAAGTTAACTATGTGAGGTGATAGAGGTGTTGAATAACTAAGTTGTGAAAAATCATGCCATCATACCTTGATAGAGCTGGGGTTTGGGAGGAGAAAGAAAAGTATTCTATTAGGATGGAAATGAAGAAAGGGAGGAGAAAATGTCCATTTTTTGGAGGACAGAATCTGCCCCTACACATCACTGTGATACTTAAATTTTTTTTTTATTGATTCATTTTAGAGAGCGAGGAAGGGAGAGAGAGAAAGAGAAAGATTGATCCATTGTTTCAGGTACCTGTGCATTCACTGGTTGGTTCTTGTATGTGCCCTGACCTGGGATCAAACCTGCAACCCTGGCATATTGGACAGTGCTCCAACCAACCACGCTACCTGGCCAGGGCAATACTTTTTATTAATGACTATTTTTGTCTACATTTCCTTTAATTGCCTTTCCATAGTACAACAATTTTGTGCTATTTTCTATAGAGAGAATAGAAAAGATAACTGTTTTTTCTTGGGCATGTTGATTTTTTTTTTTTTTTTATGTCACTGATAGATTAGAGAAGTGTTTCTAAGCTTTATAACCTCATTATTGGTAATGCTGTGTCAATTCTTACACTTGTTCTTAAATTTTGGAAAACTCCCATCAAATGTTTTTCATATTTGAGCAGCAATATTTGAAAGAATATTCCACAGACTAGCTTCTGGGTCCATTCATTTCTAATGTAATTTCTTTGTTACTAGCCACATACTTCTGGTAACTTGGTGCTGTATGTCACATTCATATTGCAGTCCAATCTCTGGCCCTGCACTTTCGGATGACAACACTGGGTAAGTTGGTCCAGCAGGTGATAGGAGTATCCTTGGAAGCCATTTCTACATGGGCATGGCTACCGATAACTTAATAATACTGAAAATGACAGTGAGCCACATACAATAACCCACTAAACTCAACTAAATATATCTCTGACTCAACATACTCTTTGCTGGATCTTGAAAACAGCCATGGACTCTCAGCCACCTGATACATGGGTGGGTGTGCCAGGGGAATGGTTGCACAGGAAAGAGATCATGGTCTTAACTGATTTCAGTTAAAATATCTTACTTTTAGAAATATTACAAAAACATATTACCAAGTGAACACATGGCTAGGAACACCCCCTCCAACTGCCTTGGAAGAGGCTTGGAACACATGAAGAGCTTAAGCTAAATCAACTTTGCCGACACATAATTCCTCAATAAATGCTATTCTCTCTCCAAACTATTCCATAGCACTTACTACCTGCCTGGTGGGTAGCATGTGTCACATTTTGTTTATTTGCACTTGTGTTTGGCTCTTCAGCTAGATTGTAAACGCAGGTCAGGTGCTCAGCTTTATTGATCTTTGTGTCAGAGTGCCTAGCATAGTACCTGCTTTACATTAGAGACTCAGTCAAGAATCAGTAATAAAATTATGCTAATGGAAAGGAAGAGATATTGCAAGAACAGCTTAAAAATGATGTGACTGAGAAAGAGTCCAGGAGCTCTGGTTACAGATAGGAAGGAAAACAATGTGCAAAGACAGGAAGTGCTTGT